CCTGCTAGGCCGCCGTGCACATCGCGGGGAGAGGGGAGTGACTTCCTCTCCCCCATGCCCTCACTGGTGGGGGGGGATTTCCCTCGAGTGGTGTTTCCTGGAGGGGGGGAAAGATGTTTTCTCCCTATGCTCTGGGGTCACAGTGTCTTTTTTTTTTTTCTTTAAGCAGTTTTGAGACCAGGTCTGTTCTGCACACTCAGTACTAAAGTGGTGCCTCTTTCCTTCCATCAGAAACGTGCGAGAATGTGGACTGTGGACCCGGGAAGAAATGTAAAATGAACAAGAAGAACAAACCTCGGTGTGTTTGTGCTCCGGATTGCTCTAATATCACTTGGAAGGGCCCTGTGTGTGGCTTAGATGGGAAAACCTACAGGAACGAGTGTGCCCTTCTCAAAGCCAGATGTAAAGAACAGCCCGAACTTGAAGTCCAGTATCAGGGCAAATGCAAAAGTAGGTTTGCAAATCTAATCTGATCTCCCTCAAATGCCAAAGGGTGTGTGTCTGAGTGTAGGGAGGAGGAGCAGTTGGACGTACTTCCCCACAGGAACCAGAGTGATGTTCCAAATGCTGGGAGACAGTACCTAAACCACGCTCAACAGGCAAGGACATAGCTGGATTAAGAGTTCCCCACAGTCTAGCAGCACTTGTGTCCCACCGGCTACCCTAGATGGGAAGGTTTCCCCCAGCGGCCCTTAAATGAGGAGGGCTGCTGAAGGCTTTTATCTGATCATTTGTTTCATTGTGTCTCCCATTCACTCCTTGCTGGGGCTCTGGGACCTCCTATTAATCACTGGTTCTGCCTTTATTTCAGAGACCTGTAGGGATGTTTTATGCCCAGGCAGCTCCACATGTGTGGTTGATCAAACTAATAATGCCTACTGCGTGACTTGTAATCGAATTTGCCCAGAGCCTGCCTCCCCTGAACAGTATCTCTGCGGGAATGACGGCATAACTTACGCCAGTGCCTGCCACCTGAGGAAAGCGACCTGCCTGCTGGGCAGATCCATTGGATTAGCCTACGAAGGAAAATGCATCAGTAAGTGTCTCGGTGGGAGGGTAAGGGTGGGGGGAGCTTCCTCGATTAGCTGTTTCAGATACCATGGGTGCAAGTGGATGGATGTACTTAGCACTGGGGAGGAGGAGAGACTTCCAGCAGCCAGGGTTAGTGCTCCACTCCAGGAGGAGGAGAGCCAGGGTGAGTTTTGCCCCAAAAAAGATTGCAAAAGGGATGAGGGAGTAGAAGTCTTGATCCTTCTTCTCTTGCTGTGGGTGCTGACATTAGTATCCAGAGGAGAAGTACCTGCCATTAAATAGATGATGACATGGTTACGGTGTAAGAAGGTCTTGATATTCTGTGGATCCGGATTCCTGGAAACAATTGTCTTCAAGTGGTCTTGGCAAAGCGTGCATTAACTTAATTGGAAACATCTGATCACTTTTTCCTCTTCAGAAATGTGACAGAGTTTGGAGACAGTGGGTGAAGATAGGAAAATAATCTCCGAGTATCCTGACATTTTGTATTGTGATATCCAGAAAGGACTGATAATGAAGCATGTTATGAGGAATCACCTTTATGGCAGCCTCTGCTCCCCAAAACTGCTGGGGGAATTCGGGGGAGTCTCAGGCTGCTTTTAGTTGGCATAGGTTGAGGTGAATTCCCTTTCCAGTCTTGTAGACAACTACTCTGTGTAGGTTAGTTTAAAAATAATTGATTTAGAAATGCTGAATGTGTTGGCAAATTCTGCACTTAACTGCTAATTCAGGGAGCTGAATTTCCACTGACATCAAACGAAGCAGGAGAGTCACGTATAATAGGCAAATATAAATCTGTATTCCCAGGGCCAAGCTCTGCTGGCACAGCTGTCTTTCCTTCCCCACATATAGACAGGCACTGGTGTCCAAGGGAATACTTGCTTGAGCAAAATCAGCAAGTATCATCACATCTACTGCATCTGAGCTTTGTCTATTCACAGTTCACAGGGGAAAGGGAGTGTGGGATTGTTTGTTGTTGCTTTTCTTTTCTCCTTGTCTTTACACTTACCTCTAGTATCCTCTCTATATTTTTAGAAGCCAAATCCTGTGAAGACATTCAGTGCAGCGCTGGGAAGAAATGCTTGTGGGATTTTAAGGTTGGCAGAGGTCGGTGTGCCCTCTGCGATGAGCTATGCCCTGAAAGCAAGTCAGACGAGGCAGTCTGTGCGAGCGATAACACAACTTACCCAAGCGAGTGTGCCATGAAAGAGGCAGCCTGCTCCATGGGTGTGCTTCTAGAAGTAAAGCACTCCGGATCTTGCAACTGTAAGTGAGATTTTTAACTCTGCAGACAATTAAAGCTTCTGAGGGCAATCCCTAGGTAATGAAGACTTACATCCTCAAACATAAGTAAGCTTGATTTAGAGATTCAAGATACAGTACAGGTGCCATATAAGTACATATCTAGCATGCACACACTTTGATTACTGATAAAATGCAATAGATCTCCATCAACAACTTGGCCTTCAAGTTGGGGTTTTGGGTCTATTCTGAGGACAAGTCATTCTGTCAGAAAGGGGTTGCCCTAGGAGTGTAATTCTTTCTTACTTTGTCTGCTCTCGTGTGCTTCACTGATTGCTTTATTAACACCCGGATAAACTCTTAACTCGGTCCAAAAGAACAAGCTTAATGGTAGCACATGGGCACCTGGTTTGCCTCTACTAACTCTGACTGAAGGACACAAAGCAGTTAAACCTAGAACACAAGAGCGCTTTTTATTTGATTTCAGGAATCTGCCAATAAAACCTGAGCCATTGATTCTTCAGAACTTTCTGCAGTTATGACTTCATAGATTATGTATAAAAAAACCTTATTGCATAACAGCAGATGCCAAAGAGCATCTCACTACAAGTCGTATAAAATGCAACGCTGTATTATGGCTGTTCAGAGGGCTTTGAAAACATGCACTGAGCTGCTTCTGCGCTGTTGTTGTCCTTATTTAAACAACAGCTCCCCTGTATTCCCCCATCTAGCCATTAATGAAGACCCAGAGGATGAAGAGGAAGATGAAGACCAGGACTACAGCTTTCCTATATCTTCCATTCTAGAGTGGTAAAACGTCCATCACTATTGGAACAGCCATTGGGCACGAAATCAATGTCCATACTGTAAATAAGTGTATGCTTATTTATTTTGGGGAGAAAAAAAGTATACATATAGTTGAGTCTCGTAGACATTTATTTATACGGTGTCATGTTTTATAATTTATACATAAAATGTCTGGTTGACTGTACACCTTGTTTTTTGAAGAAATTTATTCGTTACGGGAAGAGCAGTGTTATTTATTGTGAGGTCTCTTGCTTGTAAAGTAAAGATTTTCTTTTTTTTTTTTTTTCTTGTAAACTATAAAAGTCCATTCCTTAGAGCTTACCCACATGATCCCATTTCTTTGTTTCACTGATGTTAACTCTTTTCCACTTTAACAAACTTGCATGTCGGTTTCTGTTATGTTTATTTATTGGATTTTATTCTTGCCGGTTATGTACATAAAAGATCCCTCGGGTTTTTGTTTACAAGGAATCCTGACTGACCAAAAGGCGTTGTAACGACTTAAGTATACTTTTAGGGTACAGTGAGGCGATCTTTAAGGAAACTTCTTCCACTTCACTTTTCTCTACTTCTGATCACATCATCTACTGAAGTGATCTCAATGTGCTGAGCGTATATACTATACTATACTATACTATACTATACTATACTATACTATACTATACGAATTCTGGACCCAAAGAAATCGGATTATGAAGGTTGTTTATAGCTACAGGGCTAACTGTTATAAGAATAGATATTTTATTTTATTTTTAGTGGTTTTTGGGGATTTTTTGTAAGATGCATAAGTGTTTTATCAGGTGTTTCCTTTAAGATGGTCTTGCAGTACCACTTTCAAAGTTTTTTCACAATCAGTGTGTCACTAAAAGTTCTATCAAAACTTTATCAGTTCAAGTTTCTTGCTTTTCATGAAACTTTTTTTCTGATGCAATTTTATATTTTCAAACATGGCGAGTTAAATATAAATTCATTTAAATATATAGTTTTGTACTTTTCTACCATGTAAATGTGCAATGTATATAAAAGTTATAATGTGTATTTGTAAATAAATGATGAGTGAAAAAATAAAAAATGGAATTTTCCCTAGAGGCAGTCCTTAGTTTTTGGTCTAAAGGGTTCTGGCCCTCTGGTGCAGAGAAGGCACACTGGTGGTTAGACGAAAGGAGGCTTGTGCATGGTGCAACAGTGAAACACACTGGTTAAGGCCAAAGCTTTCAGCTGACATTGATTCAAGAAGCCATTTTTTCAGACCACAGCAATGTCTCCAGTTCATTGGTATTAATTTTAAATCCAAGTACAGTGACAGAGCTTTGAGAAGGGATTTGGCATTTTTGCTTCCCTCTGCATCCTCTAAATAAAAAGTCTGTCATGTCTTGGGCATCTTTAACTTCCATATTTCTAGGAGGTTTCAAATATGCATTTGGATTTTTTCTAAGCTTCTGATCCGTGTTACCGGGGTTGCAGTTGCATCACCATTTTAGACGACCAATAGAAAAAGCAAAACATGGCCTACTTGCCCAAATTCAAGATACGGAACAATTAGCACAAAAGACAAAAAAAAAAAACCAAAAAACAACAAACCATCAAAGAGTACGATATCACTTGGAAATTATTTTCTTCCAAAAGGAAGGTTAATTCAGAAGTTCTTTTTGGTGAAACAATATTCAGACTGGTCACACTGTTAAGAGTGGATACTAATACAGTGAACTGAGGAAAGGCACAGCAGGGACCAAAATCCTGTTTTATGCTACCTGGGTTAGTTATGCTCTTCTCCCTAATAAGGCTCCACTTACCAAAATTTATCTATCATACTGCGTAAAACTTAAAAAGATACTCAAGCACCTTATTCAATGGTGTTTTAAGTACTTCGCTGAACTGAGGTCTGAGAGGAGAAATTGACTTACCTATTTTGTTTAAATACAAATCATATTTGAAGGCTATTCTGTTACAGTCTTCTGTATATTTTTTACTATAGAGTAAACTCTAATTTGTTATGGATTTAGCATTATCCAAAGCAAATAAAAATTATTCATGTATGAATACATAAAAACTACAAGTGCGCATTGATAATATAGTATTCAAAACAGTAGCAAAAAGATTTTGCCCTTCATCCTCCTGTTGCTTCATTTAGACAAGCAGTGTCTTTGAAAGAAGTATGAGCAAAGGGAGCAGGATTTTGGTCTGCTGAGGGAACAGAACCCGGAATAAAAGAGAACAGGGGCTGAGGAGAAGAGAGGGATGGAAAAAGAACCTATCAGAAAATCTCTCAAGGACTAATAAACACATGACAATGATACAGAGACAAAATGTTTAATAGATGTGAAGAGTATTAGAGGACATTTTTCTTAAATTCAGATAGGTGCCAGCTACTTCATTTCCAACAAAACAACAACATTAAAAGACTGTTTTTAATTGTAAATATATTTACATGTCTTACACAGAGACGGCAGCAGAGCAGGATTTCTAGGTTCTAATTTTATGTCCTGCTGCTGGTTCACAAAGTAACTTTGAGAAAGACACTGACGGCCAAATTCAAAAAAGCAACAAAAATGCTAGGAAACTATATTTACGCATGTACGTGTATGCAAAAGAGCCACAAAAATCGACATCAGGTTTTTGTTGACAAAATTATCTAAAAGTTCTGCTGCTGCATTTCCCATTGCTACTGCTATTTCTCTACAGCTGAAAAAACTTCAAACCTACCTTGCACCACAGCCTGCCTGTGATGTACAGGAGAGGCACCTCCTGAGAGGCTTCATGAGGTAAGCATCTTCAGAGCATGCTTAACATACACCAACCTTGTCATGAAGAACAGCCCCAGAGACTTTATCCCAGAAACACGTCCAGCGGTTGTGGCAGTGCAACTGCCAACGTTTTACATAACATCATACTTGTAGATAAGGCACTCGTTCATGTAGTGGGAGATGGAGGTTCACTGCCAGTCTATTTCTGAGGAGATCTTTCTCACATGTCCCAAGAGTGCACCCACCACCAACTCAAGGTGAAGCTCAGGCTGGAGAACTGTCTGTGATACTTGCTGAAGCCGTACTTCTGTATGGGAGAGGAAGCAAGATTCATTGAAAGAAGATAATTTGCAACCCTAATAGGTACTCCTTTTGAGGAGGAAGTCCTGGGTTCTTGCCCCAGGGGCTACCTGCTTATTTTGCATTTGTAGTTGAGTAACATACATAAATAGTGCTTGAAGCAGGGACCAGAATCCAGGTTGCCTCTGCATCTCCTTCCCCCAGCAGGTAAGTGCCTCCATCCTTGAGCTATGAAATCACGTTTAACTCTCTGCTTAAATCAGGATTACAAATCTCACAACTTTTTCTACTCTGAGTCATAATTACAATAGGAGAGGCTTTACTTTTTTCATCCTTTCTTGTAGGATTGAACATGGGGAACTTCCTGGGAACTGGAAATATGAACTTAATTCCCTCAATCTAAGGAAGGTGCTGAATCCATTTTTTCTACCGCTTGTCTTTTGTGTGTGTGTGTGTGTTTGTTTTGATTTGGTTTTGTGTTCTTCCTCTCTTAATGCACAGGCTATCCTGGATGTTGTTTAAACGAAGAAACAGAGGTGTCTGGGGGTCTAAGTACAACAAGGTTGTTTCCAGCTCTGAAACCACCTCGCAGCACAAGATCCTGAAACCAGAAGAGAAATAAATTTTCAGAAATATCTTTCTTTTCAGTGTTTTCTGTCATCTGGCATACATATTTCCCTTGCTGTAAATCACGTTCCTGAAACTGCTAGTCCACCATGGAGTATACTTTGGTACTGAATCCCAGGCCTGTGAACACCATTCACAAATACAAACACAGTAGCACAGTGTGGAGCGCCTATGTTTGAAAACAAAAACCTGTATTCTGGCACTTAAATAAAATCAGCTTAAATCTAAGAGACCCAGCTTGGGGCATTTGAACAATAATAATATTGCCTCTAAAGCCCTGGTTCCCAAATGTATTTGATTGTGCAATACATGCAAGCAATTTTGATCCCACTTGAATGCATTCCTGATAGCGATGTTCATATGACAGACTTAAGAACAGTATCATGGACCCCTTTTGCACCTTTTACATCTTTGCTTGCTTTCTGGATGCTAGTCACCTCAGCTAAAACTACATTCCAAGCCTCTCCGCAAATTTCAAACAGCTGCCATTTCTTCTTTTTTTTTTATGACATAAAAATGTTTCCTTCTTTCCCCCCAAATGGGAATCAGGTGAAATTAAATTTCAGTATGCAGTGCTGTTCTCTAGGCAGTGACATTTCACTATACAATGAATCACCAGCACAGAAACATCTGTATCTTATCCCTTTGAAGAACTAGGATTCCATGCTTTCTGGTGAAGCATAACATTTGCACATAGACCAAGGGGTTCACAAGGTATCAGGTTTTAAATTCATAACTCCCTGAAGAGAAGGCAAGTACATTTTTTGTTTGATATTTCTGTAATTGCAAGGCCTGCCTGAGCCATTATGGCAGCATGAATTTTGCAGGTAGTATATGAAAAATAAAATGCACAAGTTAACTTTTTTTTTTTTTTTCTGATAGACATAAATACATAATGGACCGTAGTGGCTGGATTTTGCTGACACTCATCTGAGATCATCTGTATAATTAACATTCATTCATTACGTCCAAACAATGTGCCAATGAAATTATCACACGGTGGAGAAATACGACATGAAAATAGTGTGCAAGCCATAATGTTCAGCTCAGAGACTGATTTGGATATAAACCACATTTGGCTCATTTTCCTGTAATTTGCAGGTGCATTCTTTTGATCTCTTAATCTTTAACTGGATTTGTTCAATTTGACCATGGGATTGAAGAGCAGAAAACTGAGAAGGAACTCCGGACTTCGATAACAGCTAATCAGACCTCCCAGATGCTACAGGACAATGAGCATACCAACGTGGTCCAGTGTAGATCTGAATGTGCTAAGGCCCCTAAATTTCCACCAATGCCACTCAGTAATAGCATCTGAACCTTCCAGTGCTTCAGTCAGGTCTACAGATCATAGAATCACAGAATGGTTTGGGTTGGAAGGGACCTTAAAAATCATGTTGTTCCAACCCCCCTGCCGTGTGCAGGGACACCTCCCACCAGACCAGGTTGCTCAAAGCCCCATCCAGCCTGGCCTTGAGCACTGCCAGGGCAGGGGCAGCCACAGCTTCTCTGGGCAACCTCTTCCAGTGTCTCACCACCCTCACAGTGAAGAATTTCTTCCTGCTACCTAATCTAAATTTACCCTCTTTCAGTTTGAAACCATTACCCCTCATCCTATCACTAAACTCCTTGATCAAGAGTCCCTCCCCACCTTCCCTCTAGGACCCCTTGAAGTACTGGAAGGCCTATAGAAAGTCTCCCCAGAGCCTTCTCTTCTCCAGGCTGAACAATCCCAACTATCCCCTGAGGAACACCGCTTGTCACTGGTCTCCACTCAGACATTGAGCCATTGGTGGTAACTCTTCTGAGTGCAACCATCCAGCCAATTCCTGATCCACACCAAGCGGTCCATCCATCAAATCCATGTCTCTCCAATCTAGAGACAAAGGTGTCGTGCAGGACAGTGTTGAATGCTTTGCACAAGTCCAGGTAGATGACACCAGTTGCTT